GTCCGATATGAAAAATTTTTTGTCGATCACAAAAAAATTGTTGTGGCAAAATTTTGGCCTCCTATCTTCATTTTTCAGTTAACGCTCGCAAAATAACGAATTTTTAATGAAAAAAACTTTTCCGCTATTTTTTTCATAAACCATTAAATATAACAAATAAAAACGAACTACCTTGTGGATAATGCAATTTTAGTATAATAAGTGTAGGTTCGAACGAACATACCGTTGATTTTTGGCCTTTTTTGTGTTGTTGAAGATTTCGTTAATTTTTCATGTCCTTGAACGGGTCATCGAACATACTTTGAAGGCGAATTTATACAAGGTGGTAGCAAGAATACAACAAACAACAACCACATGTATTTTGTATCAGGGTCAAAATGTCAAATCTCAATTCGCCTCAAAGTTTATATGTATTTTGTTTTTGCTATTCATGGGCATGCTGTCAATCAGCATTTGTTTTGTACATGTAAGGCGAAGTAAAGAAGAATAAATCAGCAGATTGGACAACACCACCTTGTATAAATTCGCCTTGCTTGGTATGGATGAAAATGACTGGCACCTTCAACAAAAAAAACATGCAAAAAATCAACGGTACGTCTAAGCTACTTCAAACTTATGGCGTTATCTTTTCTACCGAAAAAGTTGCCATCCCACTGTCTTCTATGCACAAATACTAAGGAAAAGGCAATGTAAGAAAGCACACATTTTTGTAGAACAGAAATCAGCTATATTTCCGGAACTGTAAGTCTTTTTTCTTTATTGACCGCGAGTTCTCATCTGAGGCATGTTTGAATTCTTCCATTGGGCGGGGTTTTAACATGGCGGGACCCAAAGCCAGCGCAAGCGAGGTTTTACGCCTTCTCACTTTAGCTTGCTCCCAAACGGGTGTTTGGTCGCCACCCAGAGGATACGTGGATATAAATATCGGGCCGTTGCGAGCTACGATTTGAATCGTACGCAAAACACTCAGAAAAAAATCCTTGATGCTAGGAAAAAGTATATTATTCTAAAGAAATATTACCTTGAAACGGCTCAAAAGACATGGCTTCCTTAATATGAGTAAACGATTTGACTCAGTTTAAGGAAAGCACAATTCCTTAGTTTTCAGTACATACCATTTTCTTTCTTCTTAGGAAAAATCCGCGAAAGTAATAAATATGCCATTTTGCTGGCGGCGCTCAAACAGTCGTAATGGCCGACAGAGCAAAGCTGTGGAGTGCTAGTCGAGAGATGCAAGGTCCGAGTCCCAGAGCAGGCAATTTTTTTTAAATATTTTTTTATTATTTTTTTTTGCAATTTTTTAAATGATGTTAAAAAATTACCTCATTTATTTTTTGTAGTATTTGAGTACTTAGGTTTTTGCATATGAAATTAATTTTACAATTGGATCGGAATTTTGCAAATCAGCACGCAAAAAATTTTGTTCATATACTTGGGTGATTTGTGTATCAATCGACAGCTCTCAGAGTAAAAACTAGTCTCCCGAATGTTTTAGCAAAAGCAAACATTTTGCAATAGTTATTCGCAAAAAAAAAGTTTTAGATACATTTTTTTCAAAATTTTTCGACGGTATAAATAAATTTAACAAAAAATACCGCAAATGAAAGATAATTGACTATATTTTAGTATACTTATATAACAGTTTTACGAAAAGATTTTTTATAGTTTTTTGAAATTAAAAATAAAAATTACGGTAGGCAAATTGAAACCTTGCAAACTGAGTTCTGAAGAGAAAAAATGTAGACTATAGCGATATAGGTGGAATCATAAAAAGATAACACTCAAACGCATAAAGATTTCAAATTTCACGATTTGGTTTTACCGTAAGTACATCGAAGGCTGAGTTGAAGGATCGACCTATCTCGGCAGCCAGTTCGAAAACGCCCTATCTCAGACAATTTTTCAAGAACGCCCTACTTCAGAATTTGATTCAAAAACGCCCTATTTCAAAATTTTATTGAAAAACCTCCTATCTCAGAATTCGGTTCAAAAACGCTCTATTTTAAACGAAAATACACTGACTTACATACGTTTTTGAACCGGCAGTTGGAATAGAACATTCTTCAACCTAATTCTGAGATAGGGTGTTCTTGAAAAGTGTTCTGAGATAGAGCGTTTTTGAAAAATTTTCTGAGATAGGGCGTTTTCGAACTGGCTGCCGAGATAAGTCGATCTTCCACTCAGCCATCGATATGAGCTCAAAAAAACTATGCAGATTCAAATATGTAGTCCTTAAGTCAAATTAAATGGAAAATGCTATCTATAGGTCGCTAAAAAGCGTTTTCACACACAAAGCACATTTTAAGAGTTGAAGAGAGGGAAAGGGGAGGAGTTGAATAACACAAACGGCAATAACGCAAATTTGTGTTATTTACCAATTGAATTTGAAATAACACAAATTTGATTTATTTCATTTATCGTTGAGCAATAAGACCAGCTTTTAAACTTAACAATCTTACTAATATTATAAATGTAAAAGTTTGTATGTTTGGATGTTTGGGAAATCAGCACGCGGAAACTACTAAAGGGATTTTCATGAAATTTTGTACCCAGATAGCTTATGGGCCACATTGGTTAATAGGCAATTTTTTTAAGAGTTGCCACCTGTTAAAAAAGTTTAATTATTTAACCCTCTTCTTACCAACATAAAAAAGTTGCAAATCCTACCAACATGTGTCTTCAGGACACATACTATATGAAAATTAAATCATAATGATTGAAACTTGAAAAGATTCGGGAGTAATGTTCTGTTTTGACACCATCCAAGTCGGATGCAAATTTTTCCAAACAACATATCCGGCTATTTCACAAATGCCAATCAAATTACAGAAGAATGTGAACGGCCACCTATTTTATGTGCTACTATGTGCAAGTTGGTCCAAATTATCTACTGCGCCCTTTGTTTGATTGCAATACAAATTTATTTCTGAGTTGTTTTTGTTTTGGGTAGCGCAAGTAGGTGCCGAATCCATCGAAGATAGGAAAAGAACTGCTCTTTTTGGTGCTGAGACATAAGACACCATAGCCATATTTTTGGTAAAACCAAATATATTTGTTCCTATTTGCTTTCCTGTTTAGTAACACAGCGTTTACTCTTCTTTAGAGTACCTGTGAGAGATTAATTTAGTCAGTTGATTTTTTAGAATTTTTTTGTTTAGGGTGCTCAGAATTCCATGTAACGTATGAACAAAATCTATTTTTATATGAAAGAAAAAGCGCAACACCCTCGACAAAAAACAAAATTCTAAGAAATATACGGTAGTTTTTAGAGACTTGAAACTTGCACTTATTATATTAATTTAATGGGATACGAAACTGCATACTCGAAAATTGTTTAAAAATTCTGAATAAAAGTTTGAAATCTTGATGAAATTTTTTGAAAATTTTATTTCTGTCGTTTCTGTTATAGATCGAACTATATTTTAAATGAATATTAATAAAGAGCAATAAACACCATTTTAAATTTTGCTATCTACTATTATTTTCAGCGCTTCTATACATAGGTACATACATACATATATATATACATATAGTGTTATTGTTTTGCTTTATCTGACCTATATTCATATAAATAAGCATTTTGGTTTATCGTTTTTTACGAAAATTTGAAACATAAAAGTATGTGCTTCTGAAACACATGTTGGTGGTTTGTGCATGGGCGTAGCCAGGTAGGGGTAGGGGGTGCTCGGGCCCCCCCCCCCCCACCTAACTTTCAAATTTTCCTTATATAAATATAAAATAGTACCCTGAAACGCCAGCTTAATAGGGTCGAGCCCCCCCTAAATTTCATTCTGGCTACGCCGATGAGTTTGTGTTACATTTCTTGTTTTGACTTATAAAAAATACAGGAGAATAATTTTCTTTGCTTATTATATTACTGAACTATTCAGAAGATATGTAAAAAAAGTCATAAAGTCTGGTAGCAGTAAGTTGCAACATAACGTAGAAACATCAAGTTAAACAAGAAAATGTGTCTCACAGACACATGTTGGTAAGATTAGCGTTAATATGCGGGAACGACAGAACGGTTTTGCATGAAAATCTGCACACAGATAGCTATGACCTAGATTGGAAAATGGGCTACTTTTTTAAGAGTTTCCACCTGTTAAAAAATTTTAATTAAATTAATACGCGGAAACGACTGAATGGATTTGCATAAAATTTAGCACACAGAATTTCCACTAGCTGTGTCCGCCACTGTAGCTTATATTGAGTAAACTTAATGATGCACTATTTTTAGAATGAACCTGAATTAAGGCAAAATTTCCCACATTGAGTAAATATTTTGGTTATATTAAGGAAAAATAGTAACTCTCCAATAAGGAAACTGGTTTCATGTTTTAAGGAAATACTTTTTTCTGAGTGAAGAATCACTTCTGGCCACTCCCAGGTGAATGGCATTCAAAAGCTTTCCCCACTTACGTGGACTTCTACGCACGGAACCATAAGTCACATGACTTTAAAATTTGGTGTGAAGATTTGTTGTAAATGTATGTATACAATTGAATTGAATTGAATATTTACCAATATGCAATACTTTCGTTGACCTTTGTAGTAAGATCAAAAACGTTTCTGATTGATTTTA